GATATTCCACACAAAACTCAACTTTTAAGGTAAATTTTTTACCGTTCTATAAAGCATAGTGTGTTGTGAACATTTTGTTCAAAGTTTCACTAAAATTCATCAATTATTAGGGAAGTTGTGCCCATATAAGTAAAATGATGCACTTTCAGCTCAAAATTAAATTCCCAAGCAGAAACTCCTCCCACAGCACGGTATAGACTTGGGATTTAAATGCTCCCACGCTGAAGGGTTAAATAGTCTCCTCAGCAGTTTGTCTACAAATAATCCCATTATGTTTATGGTGAAGTCAGTATAAATAGCATTTGACAGTATACTTCTTACTGGGCATCGAGAAAGTAAGAGGTTATGTTTTGTGGCCATAGGAAAAAAATAGGGATGTGAGTTTTAATCATTTTGGGATGAGAGTTTTTGATTGAATTATAATGTTTGTTTCCTGAGCTTATTATATTCTTGGTTTTATACACAGTCTGATTATCATGATTAATACTAACTAAAGTATGGTTGTGAATCATACAAATTAGTATTTGTTTATGTTTCAGAAAAGGGGTACTGCATGCGTGGTGATTTGTGTCCCTATGACCATGGAAATGACCCAGTTGTCTTGGAGGACGTAGCATTATCCCGTGTGCTGGCATTTGGTCCCAACCACCCACCATCCCATCCATTGGTACCACCAGGCACTGGACCTCCTACTCCGTTAAATCCTCCCGGTGGTTCGCAGCCACCAGCTGCAGCAGAAGTCACAGAAGGACTGGTGGAACATGGCCCAACTCCAGGGATTCCACTAGAACCCCCACCACACCACATGCCACATCCAGTACCACATCCTCATATGAGGGGACCACACAGTGGAAATATGGGTACGTTTCATACAATGTTTCAGTTTCAGTTTTAAACTAAACATGGTTAATGATGAATCACTAGGGATGTACAGAAGCATCCAAATTGTGAAACAGACATGAACTTCGTCATAATATGTGCATCAGTTATAAACCAATCTTAAGAAATTTTGATTTGGTATGGTACTGAAATGCTGATGTGTGTGTGGTCGTGTTGCAGAATACAATCCAGATGCTCCAAGCATGGAACCAAGGATGTGGGGCCGTCCACCATTCCGTAGTGGGCCTGGAGGCATGTATAGATATACATAAAATAGAAATATTTAAGTTACTGATCGATAGGTTCAGATCATGTTCAGACTTTCAAAGTAACATTTTTTTTTTCTGGTTGAATATTACATTACATTATGAAGTTCCTTAAAACTGGAATTTGTCTGCTCTGTCCCTTCCTTGGCTGTTCAGTTCGATTCTCAAATGTCATTGCATTGTGGTGAACAAAGTCGTTTATCCCTGAGTTCTCTGGTTTCCCCTGTGACCCACTACTGAACGCTCAACATCACCCCTCAGGTATGCAGTGGCCTCTGGTAGCCAGGTTTTCAGTTTTGGTTCAACACTTGGCTGGATACAGAAAAAGAAATGTAGTTTAGTGTCAAGACAGTGTATTCTGAACTAACGTTTTTGTTGCGTATAAATGTGTGATTTTTAATTTCATTATTGAGAATTCTCATTTTATAAACTTTCATTTAAACGTTTATGAAATGTGGTACACATGTGTGATCCATTTAATGAACTGAAAATTTGCAGTATCACAGAACAAAATAAAATGATCTCAATAATCTTTCATGGTAAATAATGTTGGCTGCTGATGTACACAGCCATCTCAAGATCAGAAAATTCCTTTGTATTGTAGATAATAAGAGTTGAATTTTCTTTTGTATTTTTTGTTGAAGTGACTGCACTGGTCAGTTACGGCATTAACAGTTGTCATACTTTTGGTTTCTGTAATCAGACATTTGGTCAGCCTCATACATGTCATATCTCTGGTTGTAAGAATATTACTAACCAAACGTCTCACTGTTAGTTTCAAATCTGAACCAGGTCAATAAGTCTTCTTAAGCTAAATTTTAATATCGTCCTCTCATATGTGACATTGTGACATTTTGCCACAAAAGTAGTGCATATATTTTTTTTTGCACATGTTTGAGCTGCAGGCTAATTTGTAGTCACCTTTGAAGTGTGTGCCATAGCAATGCTGTAAGATGTATTTGATGTTCCAGGCATGAGAGCAGGAGGAATGATGAGGGGTGCAATTGGTCGCCCAGTGCTGTACAATCCTCAACCACAGCGAGAACTTATCAGTGTGCCTGTGACAGACCAGACTCATAATTACTCTGCTGGCTACAAACGTAATCGTCCAACTGCTGAAACCAACAATTATATCCCAAACACAGAGGTGAAGCATACAGTTTTCATTAGTTACATAATATCGAAACCTCTATGCCCATGCAGGCTCTCCTTTAACCCTCTGCAGCAAGAACATTCATTTATGTTTACAGTAAAGTTTGTTATTTAAACTGTTGACAGTGGTGTAAGAAATTATTGTTTTAACCAAGTCATTTTTATCAGTTTGCAAATTTTTAAGTATACAAATTCAATGTTATGGTTAAGTGGTTAGCACTCCTGCTCTTTATTTTCAAGGTCCTAGGTTCAAATCTTCGACTGCAGAGGTTTTTATGTGATGGGTGAGCATTGTTGATCTTACGTCTTACAGAGGGGGGACCGAGGGACGTGATCTGTGAATGCTCTGCTTTGTACTGCCATCAAAAATTAAATTTTCCCATTGTATACAGCATGTTGTAATGTGCCATATAACCAAAACCCCTCTGCCCACATGTTTTTCGGCCAGTGAACACCTGTTTTGTTGTTCAGTTGTATTAACTGAGCCGTAATGAACTGAGTTATGTTCAGATGCCTAATAAACAGACAGAATAATTCCAGTGGACCCTGAGTGATTGAAAACGTTGCTGATGAAGAAATGGTGTTATTGAGAATGTTTTATACATTGCAAGGATTGTCTTGCAGGCAGTTGGCATTACACTCCTTCTCCTTACTTCCTGCTACAAGAGAAGAGGTCATTTGAAGGTCAAGCTTCTTACTTCGCGCAGTGGCTCATGTAGCTGTTGCCAAAAATGTTGCGAATTACTGTTGTATCATGTCATTTTCTACTTTGTGCTACACAGATCAAATTATGATTTATGATGCCAGTATTTTTGTGAAGACATTTTATAAAATGGTTTTTCATGGCATTTGGGTAAATGCAGTAATTCCCAGAAACTAGAAATGTACGTTTTTTCACGCAATTTACAATCGGATGTCAGGCACTATGAAATGTTTTGCACAGAATAAGGAATGTATTTAATTCTTACAAAAATAAATTCTGTGAGATTTCAGGTTCTCGCACCGGTGAGTATGAAGATGACCGTCTTCTGGGATGTTGTGCCATGTAATCTGGTAGAAGTTTACCGACGTTTCAGAGGTGCTTACTACTTTCGTCATTAGAGAGACAGTCAGCATCTCAGAAAACATGAGTAAATTTCTACCAGACTACCTGTGCAACATCACAGGAGACAGTCATCTTTCAGTCTTAAGGTACAATTTGGCTGCACGCGACAGAGACAAGCGACCGAGGCAGGCGACAGAGTTACGAGACCGAGACTGGTCGCTTCCTGTCTGCTCTCTGTACAATTGTATGAAGTACAATTATGAGTGCGAGACAAAGACAGGCGACAGAGACAAAGCACAGGAGACCGCTCTCGGACCAGTAGTGTCTCGCGACGGGCTCAGGCAGCACGTGTGTTGTTGAGTAAAATAATGGCAGAAATTAAATTTACTGGTGACCAAGATGAGCAATTGGTAGAATTAGTAGCAGATAACCGACCACTGACCACCGACAGAAAGATCCTTCTTCAAAACAAACACTTTGCCGCATGTCTCGGTCGTCACCTCAAAAGTGTGTGGCGACAAGCTGCGATGTGTCCGTCTCCCGTCTCTGTCGCCTGCCTCAGTCACTTGTTTCTGTCGCGTGCAGGCAAATTGTACCTTTGAAGTCAGCCAGGAGACAGTCTGGTATCTTCCATATGTACATGCCTTTTTTTAATTGACATGACAGTTTTAGACTATCATGTTCAAAGTTCCTACAGATAAAGTTGTTTTTCATCTAGGGAAATGTATTTATTTTCTTTTGTATTGCCAATAAATCATGCATCAAAAACTAAAATACTAAACTCCTCAGAGTAGCCAACTGTTCTAAACATAAGTTCACCAGTTTCAGAAGAAAATGTCATAAAACCCAGGAATTCAGTTGAAATTCCATTTACTATGCAGAATCCAGTGTAATTCAAACAGCAGGAAAGTTAATGGGACTGTAACTTGTCATAAATTATGGGCAAATTTACATTCTGGGATTATAACTGTGATGATTTATTATATTCATATGTGATACGTAATTAATATGAGTAAGTGGGTCTCTTAAAACTTTATGTTAACTTGATGTTACTACTAAAAAGATATGTAAGTGGTTGTCTTAAAACTTTATATTAACTTGATGTTACTACTAAAAAGATAATATATGTACATAATTCTGTTTTCCAGAAGTGGTGGGTGGGGGTGTAAACTTTACAGGGACATGTGATACTCTGATAAATATGACACTGTACACTTAAGCTACGTTGCTAATCCATCCTGTTTTGTCATTGTCATCATAATCATCATTGTTATTTCAGTCCAAAGAGTCTCCACCATCCAAAAAGAAGTCAAATTTTGACTTTGCTCGCTTGGGACCACGTCACAAGAACCCAAATAATTGCTCTTTGGAACTCAAGAAAGTGCCACGTGGTTTGAACAATATTACACACCTCAACAATCACTTCGCCAAGTTTGGCAAGATTGTAAATATTCAGGTGAGAACAGTTACTGTTGTATCAGATATGATGTTAAAAATGCCTCGAATTAAATACAGATGCCGAGTTTGTACTGAAAATGTTCTGTTACAGGTTTCGTTTGAAGGGGACCCTGAGGCTGCACTCGTGACATTTTCAAGTCACGCAGAAGCAAATGCTGCGTACAGGAGTACTGAAGCTGTGTTGAATAATAGGTTCATTAAAGTGTTCTGGCATAACAATAGTGAGGTAATTGCTATTCTTGTGGTCTGAAAGTGTGGCGCTGTAGCATACTGCGCATACTATCCCTTTTATTTCTTATTCCGATGTCTGTAACCTACAGACTTTTATGAATTAGGTTCCCCAGTATGAGATGATGAAGTCCATATACAGTCTTTTTTTTTGTTTTTTATATGTTATTCTCAGTTGTGTATAATTACACATTTAAATGTATCGTCATGAACAAGTCTAATATAATAATACCTTGATATAAGATATTTTTCTATGAAATATACTCTTTTGCTTGAAAAGCTGTTAATGTTCTAAATTGCATATGCATTTTGAATTATGAGTGCATTACAGTCACCCTACGTTTAGTGACTGCGTGCCACTGGACCCAAGGTTATCAGGTTCATACGGTGATTAAAATCCGTAACATGACTTGCTTTGGAGGGGAAATAAAGCTGGTGGTCCCATGTCAGATTTACAGCATGTAAAAGAACCTTACGAACATGAATGAGATGAAGATATCCGTCTTCTGGGTTGTTGCGCTGTGCGATAATCGCCCTGATGACGGAGGCAGTATGACCTCTGAAACGTTGGTTAACATCGACCAGACTACACAGCGCAATAACCCAGAAGACGGATATCTTCATACTCACCGCTGTGAGAACCTCAAGTCTTACATGAATGAGATGTTTTGTAAGTAAAATTCAGTGGATATTTCTCAGCCGTGTCTCTTCTGATTCACTACTAGAGGGCTCTAGCAGACAAATTTGGAATGAGTAGATTTGTTCGGAGGCAGCAGGCTTGTCACCTGCTACTCTAAGAAATTAAAAATACTAATAAGACAAGTTGCTTTGAACAACTGTCCGGAATGGGCCATGGGCCCAATCCTTGATAGGAGATGATGAGTGCATTATGTTTTGATTTCTGACTGCCTGATCTTTGTGCTGTAAATACAGAATGTATGAATACTTAAAATTTCTTTAAGAATAATTTATAGCATTGGGTATCATGCATTCTTATTTTACCTTTAGGCCACAGAAGGCTATTAACAGCTGAAAATTGACCTGTGGTGCAGTTTTACTTTATGATTTTTTGAGGAGATATTTAGTCAGTGAATCTCTTTTAGATTGCCAACCTTCAAAAAGTAAATTGGAGTAACAAGGAATTCTTGTCTGTTACTTCTCTAATGAATGCATTGTTTACCGATAATTTAATTAGTTCATTAAAAAATTTAAATGTGTTAGTGATTCTGTCTGCGATCAATATCCTACATTTAACAAGATTACTCCACTTGGGGAAGTGATTTTGTATTCTAAAAATGCTTTGTGTTGCACGATGAAAGTAAAGTTTTGCATGGAAACAGTCCTGTAGTTATGATTTGGTAGTGAACTAAATATTTATTATTAACAGGACTGTCTTAGTATGGCTTGCATCCTTAAGTAGTACAAAGTTACTGAATGCTTCCCACTGGAAGATAATGTATATGAAAAAATGTTGCAGGGCAAACAAGAGAATGTCCCACCTCCACGGCCTTCGGTGAAGGAGCGCCTGGGAGTACCAAATCCAGTCTGTAACAATAAGGTTCTAAATACCCTGCAGCCCAAAGCATCTCTTGCCCTTCAATCTGAAGCTGTAGAGAAGGTACATACGACCGTCATACATTGCTTGTTTTGTAAGGTTTATAACATGATTATCATTATGCAGCATTATGTGGACGAATATCGATAGAACTAAATTTACCCAAAGAACTCCATAAAGTAGGTAGGTTGGTAGGCAGGCAGGTCTTCCACTTGAAGACAGAAGCAGCCTTCAGATAGTTAAATATGTTAAAATGAAATTTCTCATATGATACATCACTTATCACAAAATGATTCGTATCCTGTGAATTGTATAGCTGAGAAATAAAATAAATGTTTAAATTAGAAGAGGTTGGTTTTGGGAGGTTGTGCAGGAGATGTGGTTGAACAATACCTTTTTATTTTTTAGTACTTATTCCAATCAACATGGTTGTGAAGACAGGGTACACTGCATTTACACTTGGTCATTTTAAAGTATATGGTGTTTTAAGCGGCCCATCCACGTATGAGTCTGGCTTGGCGAGCTTGACTCGTGAGCCGGGCTCGGATATATTTCACCACACATGCATAGCAGACTCGACTAGTGACACCCCACCCACAAAGGAGTTTGGCTCAATGGAACCCGAGCCGAGCCGGACTCGCAAGCCAGACTCCTACGTGGATGGGCTGCTTTACAGTCAGTTCCATTACATTGTAACGGTGTGTCTTGTTCCTAAGTAAAATGGCTGAAAAATGTAAGAAACTTGTACTGACAGTGAAAGAAAGCTCAAATTACTTGAAAATTTTGAGAACAAAATTAGCCAAAGGCTGTGGGATAGGGATTGAGTGATTGATTCAGTGATGAAATTATGCTACTGGGCTGACCTCCTCAGAACTCAAGCCAGTGAAGATGAAAACATAACAGGATTATAGGGGGAACAACACTGGGGAAGGACTTATTTTTATTTTGACCCTTTGTAGGAAAAGGAAATGTCTGTACTACTACAACAAAAGTGTGTGTTTAATTGTTACCAGAATTCTTTATTTCATGTTGGATTAAAGTCTCTATATTGCTGAAAAACAAAATTGTTATTCCAGGTGATAATGTCTGGCAACAACTTGACAAAAACAGTTTACATACCAACAGCACTGAAGAAGCAAGAGAGTTCTGTCATCAGTTCATCCACTGTCCAAGAGAATTCGAAAGCTCAAGTAAGATTTTAGAGCATGTTTTGTAGCTCTGATTTGTATGAACGTGTTAACCCTGTTATTGTCAGCACAGAAATTACGTCGTAATATCCTATATAAGTCAGTTGAATAAATCCGTTGGTTAAGTGTACTGTGTGTGCAGTCAGTGGTTACACGAATAGGATTTGAGGTTTTCAGGACAATGAGTCTGAAGATGCTGTCTTTTGGGTTGTAGCTCGGTGTAGTCTGTTGGTAGTCTTATGAGTACTCATTGCGTAGTTTGTCACTTGATTTGAATATATACAGTATTAGGCTGTTCAAAAATTAATGAGACATATATGTACGGCAGTGTGATACATTTAATTGTCTAAATCGCTTTGTTCCCTTTCAAAGTTTCTGTCTTTGAATGCAGTGCACTTAGTCTGTCACTCAACCCATGATTGGAACACACATCTAACCGTTTGAATGGGTAGTCTTATATCAAGTGATATCGCATCACTTCCAGTACACATTTTTTACTGTTTTTTTGCCATTTCTGCCTGGTGAAGTAACTGTTTCTGTTTACAGTTTTATAACTTCTTTAACAATCCTCGTACTTCGATTTCCTTTTATTCAGCTACTGAAAATTATGTTTGCTGTTACAGGCAGCGGCTGCTATCAAGAAGACACAAGAGATTTTGGCTGTGAAAGAAACACTCAAAAAGAAGCAGGAGGAAAAACGGAAAGTATGTAATGAGAATGACTAGAATCATTTTTTTGAACTTATAGCAGTATGTACGTACAAATACTCTTCTGTCCTTCTGTATAACTCTTGTAAAACTGTGATGTTTATGACTAACTAGATGGAACAGTCTTCCTTGAGAAACTTATAATGTGTTCACCTTGTCAAGAACTTACGCAGTTTTTATGTGATCTGAAGGTTCGTTGCAATATTCGCAAGAGCCCACCATCGGTCAATATTGTTTGAATGAAACTAAAACTGAGTACGAGACACTGATAATATGTGGCTGGTCCCACACATGATCGCTGATGAAATTCCAGTAGCATGGAAAGTTAATAAAAACATATTAACAGTTTACAATTACTGATGTGTGGATTAGTGTTGTCATTGTCAGTGCCCTGAACTACTCTGTTGATGTTTTGGTCAGTTCATGTATATTTTGGGGTTTGTACGTCTTGATCCCGGCACCAGCAGTTTAGTTAGTAAAAATATAATTCTAGTCTCATTCCAGACATTTCAGAGGGCTTTGAAGCAGAAAACTTTGTCTCTGAGTATGGCCACACCGACTTACCTTATGTATTTGTTATTATTCAGAATTCACTTTTGCTGGTGTTTTCATCACAGACTCATTCTTTCAGGAAGCACTAAAACTGACTGCAGATTTGAGGAAGAGGAAGCAGGACCTCTTGGATAAACAGCTGGCACAGCAAAAGCTGCTGATAGAGAGGCTGGAGAAGGGCGGGGTAGCTGCTGAGCAGCGAGAAGCTCTTATGACTACCATAAAAAAGTTGCAGGTTGGTTTCTTGATGTGGTTTACATGAGGCAATCTTTATTTGTAGGTTCAAAGACATGATTATTTTATTCGCAGTTTTAGTTTCTCTGTCACGTCCATCATGTGTTATGAATTTTCTGTAGAAAGTGGTGGCATATGACTTAAAATGATTTGTGTACAACATTGCAAGCAGGCCAATTTGTTTTAATACGTTGATAAGTACTTCTTATTTTTTTTATCACTGTTGTGGATGTATATTCTGCTAGTAGTGTTTCTGAATATCTTTGATTTCATACACGGTATTACACTTTGCGTCAAAAATTCTAAGTGACATATTTATTTCACAGAAGGCTTTGTAAAATGTGGCTATATCATTCTCATTACCTTCTGTTTACTGATGTATCAGTTCTGAATGATGAGCCGCCATAGCTCAGTCAGTATAGTGACTGGCTATGGACTGGGCGACCGGGTGGGGGCAGAGGATTTTTTCCTCTAGCCTCTGTGTCCAGACCGGCTCTGGGGCCCACCCAGCATCCTATCCAATGGGTACCGGAGTCCTTTCCCGGGGGTAAAAGCACGGCCTGGGCGTGATGCTGACCACTCACCCCCATCTAGTGCCGAGGTCAAGAAAGAGTAGGAACTATACCTCCACTCCCCCCCAAGCGCCTGCATGGCGTATAGTGGGACAGCTTTACTTTACTTTACTGTATGCAGCTTACTTACTATCTGTATCGTTTACATTTTCAAATCAACGTTCCTGCCAGTATCAAGTTAATTTATTGTAACTGCCTGAATTTTCAACGTCGCCAGTTATGCCACTGACCCGAAGTAAAAAACCAACTCAATCCTAGAGGTGCTACAGGTGGTTTATTACCCCCCAAGTAAGTTTTATTTATGCAGAAGTTGCTGTTGTCCACAACTGGATATTTGAAGGAGCTGCGTTTATAGCCGGTGGAAACAAACTGGTATGGGGTTGTATTGAACTTGATTCATTGGCATTTCACAAATTTTTGTATGTGTAAAGCATACAACAGATCATATTTTAAGATTTTTTTTCCTTTGTTGGTAGGTCATAGTGTAGGCCACAGATGTTGCATGTCTGAAATATGCAACCACTTTTCTGCATGCACCATTCATAGCCAATAATGTTGTAACTTAATTAAATAAGCGATCAACATGTCACATGCAGTTGTATTTCGTGAATTGCGCTATGGATTCACTGACATGTGAAATTTCAACTATTAACATATGAAATACAGTAAATATTAAGTAAACTGGAAATGTAATCCTTGAATAAGAAAAAACCCTGGTTTTGAAAGGAGAAATATTCAGGAGAAAGTTGTATATTGTGTCGGAGAATACGATATTTTGGTAAAATAGCATCATACGTTGAAGTTTGTGAAAGTGGCGTTATAGAAATGTTTTTGTGGAGTCTGAGATCTTGTTCATTTCAGGTTTACATTGAATAACCTTCAAACTAAATGACTACTTATCAGGGCAAAACATTAGATGTTTTTTGGAGCAGAGTGGAAGTTTTAGAAGAGCATGGAAATTTCCTGGGGATTGGTGTTGGAAAATGGTGTAAATTATGGGGAATTGCAGGAGATGCAAAATTCATAATCTTAGTTCTTGCCTTGTCCTCAACCCAAGTGGTCAGCAAATAATCCAAGTAAATTACTAAACATTATATGAACATTTTTACAATACGTAATTCCTGAAATGTATTATGGTGAAATTCAAAATTATTTATCAGACCCCTATGAAAGTTTTGGCGCAGAATAAGCAAGGTAATATGAGAACAGTCGCACATTGACAGCAAAAAGATTCTTGTAAGTTGGTAACTAACTCATTATAATGACCAGTGGTTGAAAAAATTATTGGTAGGAAACATGGGAGATTCAAATGAAATGACACATTCTGTGGGAACTAAAAGCATTGAATTGTTATAGATTTATGGTATGTAAAAGAACCTTACAAGCATGAACGTGATGTTTCGTAAGCAAAATTCAGCTGCATTTCTCTCCTGATTCTGTACTTGAAGCTCTAGCAGACAAATGAGGATTGAGTAGAAATTGTTCAGAGGCAGTGGGCTTTTCACTCACTACTCACAGATGCACACTTCAAAGACTAGGAAACTTCCCACATGGGAGGAGGCCAAGGCCCCGACTTGGGCTGTAGTGCTATTGGATGGATGGATACAGGCATTGAATTGGTAGAAAACTAGTGGGAGTATCGAAAGAAGTTATGTAAATTGTGAGAAAATGTACATTCTTCATTTTATTGCATGTTGGTTTATTGGTAGAGTGGTTGACTCAAGAAAACTGATTAAGATGGGTGAGGGAAATGAAAACTGCATACAAAACTTAATTGGGAATCCTTTTAAGAGAAACTACTTGGGTTGGTATTAAATGGATTATAAAGAACAGATTATTAGGATGTGAAATTGGCTGGTATGTTTGAAGATAGAATACATGTAGGAAATTTGTGATTCTCTGATGAATCTTAGAAATTTCTGGAACACCGTAATAACTATTGAGCCTGCATGAGGAAGTTTAGACAGTCATTTTTATTTGAGTGCCTCTTGTCCAAGTGACCTACATGACATGTATTGGGACCGCTTTTTATACGCAGGACATTACGAGAACTTGTGATGTGATTTGTGTTAACAGGAGAGCATTGAAAAGATCCGTAAAGACTTGGCTAGTGGAGTTGTGCAGGGTGCAACTGGCACAGCCAGCACCAGCAGTACTGGAGCCAGCAGGCAGCAGAGTGCGGCTACACCAGTCGTAGTGAAGAAGAGCAAAGAAGAGGCGAGTCAGCTTAAATATGTATATACAATTGAAACCATTTTGTACTGAATACAGTGAAACCTCTATCCATTGTTCGACAAACTATCGTTTTCCCGGATGCATCATCTGTTTTGTTCAGTCCCATATAAAATAATGTTACATTTTATCACTCCTATCATTCCTCAAACTGTCATTTTATCGCATCATTCATTCAAAAATCTTAGTCCTGGCCCACAGTTTTCCTGCACTGATCGTTTCTGAGAAATTATAACGGAATGTACGCAATGTTTTTAGAATTTAAAATGACCGCTTTAGAGATAAATTAATATCAAAAGACACACAGCTAGCTTGCCACATGCGCGGTCGACAGCATCAATGAATCTTGTGAGGATCGCGAAAGGGGCGATAATGGTGAGGAAGGGGAAGACTACGAATGCGAGCCCAAAGCTGTGCCGAGGTTTCCCGAAGCACATGCTGCATTTGTGTAAAAGTGAATTCGTTCTTTTATACGAACAATATTTGTGAAGGTGATGAGGAAAACGTTTTGAACATGGAAAGGGCTCTGTTTCGCCTAAAACGTAAAGTTATCCATTAAAGACTTTTTTGGCAAAAAGAAGTAACTTTGAAACAGGTTTTGTGTGTATTGTTTTGTGTATGCCAAAGAGAAAAACGCACTATTTTAATTTTTTCTCATTTTTAATGCTTTCCCGCAACTGTCGTTTCCCCATATTCGTCATTTTGATTTCTCTCCCCCGTCAAAAGCGATGCATCGAGGTTTCACTGTAACATTAGTACCAAGCAAATTATGAGTAACATGTTTAATTTACATTGGGGAGGTAGCTGGTGTGAATCTTGTATGGGTCTTAAGTTACCCTTCCCTCCCCCCCTCCCCTCATCCTCTCATTCAACAAATGTGTGTTAACCAGTGGTACGCTTGATTTACCCAAGAGCCAATAACAGTTTCAGACAAATTCTTATTGCCCTGCAGGGAATGTGGAGTTACAATATGAAGTGATTGATGATTAACATGGTAAAATCGCATTTCCTTTTGAACCATTATTTTACCGTCATAGTCCTAAAAATTCTCTGTTCAGTTCTGAGATAAAAATTGTCATTGTAATAAGTACAAAGTGAAAGCAAGAGGCGAGAAACACTGCAAAATTTACAAGGGGTGAAAGGGTGGATTGTGTGTGTTGACAAATTTTCATCAGATGCAAGCTGTGATGGATAAAGCTTGGTATTTAATTTTTATATTCTGTGAGTTCTTTTTCATGAAAAGTATTTAGCCCCACTGTTGTCGGGTATCAGGGCTTTGCACTTTTTGAAATAAATTGTTGGTTAAAGTATGATACAGTGAATAAATAATCTCATGTTCTGGCCATGCCATAGCTCAGGCAGTTGCGGGCTTCGTACCTCAGAGGCCTGGATTTAGTCCAATGTAAGATTTGTGGTGGTTGAAGTGGTACTGAAATGTTTCCCCTCCAAATCCTTGAGTTTTCTCATCAGTATCATTCCTCTGCTGATCCATATTCACTCATGGATCATCTTGGGAATGGACATGGGCCACATTTCCATGTATCTTTGATTTGTCGTGGACTGCCAAGTTGTGATATGTAAGCAGCACATCAGACAGATTTGACTCCAGCTATAGACATTTTTTTGGTAAATATTTTCTGCAGATATATCTTCTTCCACATTGATAGTTCCAGAAGTGTCCCCTTTCATATTATTGTCTTTATTAGGACTTTCTAAAGTTCTGCCCAGTTTTGCTGACCAGGACTTCTTTAGTGTGGGTACATGTATGTTTATGTTTTGAGCCCAATTATTGGCAGCATTCTCACAGTTATTATGCTGTTGAAGGTATGTTTGTTCATTCCCAAAAATGAGTATCACTGGACACATTATTAATCCTCAGTTTGTATGCAGATCATATGTGTTGTGCCATAGTGTTTAGGAATCTTTGATTTTAACCTGAAAATCTCATACAGAAGTTCTTCAGAATACTGTATTGGTATCTCGGGTTATCGTGTATTCAGAAATTATAAATCACAACTGCATAACATTTGTGCCTTTTTTTCACACAGTGAGTCACTGTTTGAGAGTTGATAAAATTCAGTTGCAGGGATACACTTGTCTGCTTTTGTTGAGGACAGAAATGCATGTTAATTGCAAAGTCTTTGTGCATACAGTCCACAGACCAGGAGAAAATCCCTGCTAGGAATTTGATATACGCGCATGCGCAAGATTTCGCGGTGAGTGACGACCGATCCTAAAAGCATTCGTTCCACAACCACTGAACGAACAACAGACGACAATCTTTCATGTGTTCTAATGGGTACAGCTTTAAGATTACCTCACAGTGGCACAGTGATTGAATCTAGAATATTATCGCAACACCCACAGAACATATTAGAGGTGCACCAACTACACGCTACTCTTAACTGCTTGTGTAGTAGTGTAAAAAACTGACGTATCACACTTCCCACCAATAGCAGCCCTCTAGTCCACTTGATCGTAAACATTCCCCCTACACCGCCCTAAAAATGACTTCCCCCCGCGGGGCTTTTCTCCTGGTCTGTGGACAATACTCATGCGAATCTAATTTTGTCCTTGGCAGGGATCACTAAGTGAATACTGTAACTGTTGTGTGTCGTGTTCACTTATAGGCACAGCGTGAGATCTTGGATGCAGAGTTGGACCTTTTCACGAGACAACAGGAGGGTGGGGATACTTCAGAATTGCAGCGGAAGGTGGCTGAGCTGAAGATGGAGGCTCATTCCCTTGGGCTGCTACAGGGAAGTATTCCTAATACAAGACTGCACCACAGGAGTTCTGTGCACCTGAACAGGAGTCTTAGTAGAACAGCTCGGGGCAGTTTGTTTCGAGGGAGGTGAGTGCGAAAAGATTTCAGCCTGCGTTAATATTAATGCAGTCATATTCCAAGTAGCATTTCTATGCATAGTACTATTTGATAACCACAGTAGAATGAGTATGGCTTGTAACAAGAACTTTATTACAGCGAGAAAAATCATTAATATCATAAATTCTGTAATGTTACATGTATGGAAGATGTCAAGAATAAGAACTTTTGCCCGGCACCTTTGCTATATTGAATTATTTATAACTGGCTGCTGATTTTGTACCAGTTGCAGTTTTTCTTTAGAAGCTTTTCATAGCCGTTAGTCCTTAAACATACCATTGGCCCATCTTCGGCTTCTCTCTAGTCAGAGTTTTATTATTTAGTATTCTGTCTTACGACAGGTCCATTGCTCTGCCCAAAAAGAGCTCTCCAGTTTTCCCTATTCTCGGCTTCTTGTTTTAATTCCTGGAACATCATCTTCTTTCCTTGTTTAAGATTGTCCGTTAGCTGTATCAATCTTCTTCCTAGTCCTCTCTTTCCTTCAACCTGGCCTTCGATGATATCACTCAGTAACCCATTCCTTCTAATAATATGTCCCATCCAGTTAGCTTTCCTTCGTGTAATCGCCTGCAGAATGCTTCTTTGCTCGTTGACTCTCCTCAATACTTCTTCGTTGGTCACTCGATCCGTCCACCTGATCTTCTCTATTCCTCTCCAACACCACATTTCAAAACTCTCCACGTATTTCTGTTCCTTCTTCCTGAGTGTCCAAGTCTCTGCTCCATACAGCGCGACACTCCATACGTAACACTTCACTAGTTTCTTCTTCATCTCCAAGCCC